GACTCATTTTTTGTGTAGTACATTTTGTTCTTTTTTCTGGTCTTTCTCTCTAAGGAAAGACAAAATAATATCTGTTGAGAATGTAGTAGGTGTGATATACAGTGGTAGGTTCACTTGTAGTCTTGTGAGAGACACAGAGCTCATAGTATTTCAGAAATGAAAAATTTATCCTCAAAATTTAAAGAAGTGTTGGAGTCAAATTCCAACCCCGGTCTTCGTGATTCCAAAGGTCATTTCTTATTCTCTTTATTGTGCTGCCTTTTGTTTATTTGAATAAAAAGACTTTGAAAAATATTGTACATTTTTTAAAAACAGCTATTAACCACCTCTTTGAAATTTACATACTAAAAGTTAAATGATTTACTTTCTAAAAGTTATATGCTATTTAATAAATCATTCTCATATCTTTCTCACTGCATAGATTACAAACTTGTGAACTGTGGTGCACATGTACGTCAGTATGCATCGGTGAGGGTACAAACAGTAAAGTTTTATAAATTCCTTGGCTTTTGACTCAGTTCTTTCTCAGATTTTATAGTAATAATTGCTTATATTTTAGGTCCTGAGTGTCAACAAATATACGATTAAAATGCATGGACTATGAGTTATAGAAACAATTGTAAAAGATTTGACGTTATATAAGCTTTTTTAAAGAGGAGAAAAAAAATTCTATTTCCTCCTCCTTTTTTTTCCTGTTGTTTTTAAATCTTCTGTGCAAACATTTTCAGAGTAACAGCGCTCACCGTTCCTGTTTCAGGAACGCTCAGCCTCCTAATGTCACTAAGGGCCTCAAAGCGCTCCTGTTTCTATGGTTACGGCTGTGGGGAATTAACATATTCCATAGTAATACTGAACTCAGTCCACGTTAAATGATCACATTCTTTAAAGAATAACAATTTAACGAATGAAATCTTAAAGAAGGGTGACCCTGGTGTGCACCCTGCTCATCTGCCCCACGTTGAGCCCCAGGCGGAGAGAAGCAGGAGACATAAAGGGCCGGGCCAGAGAGCTCGGGTCACCGGTGGAGCCTGCGGGCCTGTAACCAAGCAGGAAGCGCAAGGGGCCGAGACCCAAAACCACCTGGAAACACACCGGCCGCCCACGGCCACGCCAGCGGCTCCGGACACTCGCGCAGCAGAGGGGGACAGACCAGGCCAGCGCGGGCCGAAGTCCACAGCCCAGAGCCAAGCCTCGGGCCCTGGTGGGAGGAGAGGGCTCCTGAGCCAGCACTACTGGAGCCCACAGGCCTGGATGGAAAGTACTGCAGTGGTCCTGAGGGTTCCGCTGCCCAGACTTTGAAAATCACGAAAGAGAAGAGTTAAAAAAAATCCCCATTTATGTTTGTCATTTTGAAATTGTTTTTCCAATGAATAAAACTATTTTCTTCTTTTACTTGCAAAGTGGCATTGCTTGATGTAACTCTTATGTTTTAGTGCTATGCTCAGCTAGGTTTGTCTGATAAAACATTAATATAGGCACACAGTACTTCTACTTGCAGAGGGCTCATGAAGCCAGAATGAAAACACGCCAAGGAAGGCTTGCCTCTCTTTTGGGAGCAAGGTACACTGCGCTTTTTCTTTTCTTCTTCACTGGCAACCTTATCTTGTTTTTTAAAGGCAGCTGAAGCCAGGGGCAGTGGCCACATCTGAGACCCCAGCACTCTGGGGTAGGCAGGAGGGGCGCGTGTATGACCGCAGCCTGGCAGCTCGGGACTTGGTGAGACCCTGTCTCAACCCCACCCACCCTCATTTGTTTGTCTGGTACCAGGGGAAGGGGATTGAACTCAGGACCTTGGCTTTGAGGCAGGCGCAATGCCACTGAGCTAAATCCCTGGCCTGTTTGTTTGTTTTTACAAGGGTCAGGGAGGTAGCTCAGTACTAATGGCCAAGAATTCAATTTCTGGTACTGTAAAAAAAAGGAAGTTAATTATTAGCTTTGCTAGCTTTTTCCAGTAATAATGAACACATTGGACATAGGTGTTTATCTTCAAATAAGAACTGAAAAGTATTTACTGTGGAAATTTCTACACAGATAAAAATGACAAGACTGTAATGCACCTTTCTGCAGTTCATCTTCCGGCAGCAGCAAGCATAGAGACAGTGGCTTTGCCTCCCTCTGAGCTCTGGGGAGAAAGAGTCCATAGCTACTCCCAATAACATGGTGTGCAGAGTTTCTGCAAAATGCTAAGAGTGGAGGTACACTGTTCTCTGCACAAACGTGAGGACTCCGTGAGGTAGAGGTAAGTTAATTACTTATCTTTAGTCATTGCATAATGCATACAAGGTGTGACCAAAATATGCAGTTAATGTTGCAAACAAACAAATGTGTTACACTAAAAGACACCTTGCTATTAATTTCCTGGAAATACACCCTCTCATTTCCCACACACTCTTCCCGTCATTCTTGCTGCTTTCTGAAGCAGCTCTGGAGTGCTCTTTCCTGAGTGTCTTCATGAGGTGTGATAAAAAATACAGTGAATGCTGTTGCTGGGAGCCGTCCAAGTTCATAAAGGCAGGTTCATAAAAACATGACAGTGTGTCCTCATTCACCTTATTCACCAGATCTGGCACCAGGTGACTTCTGGCTCCTCTCCAAAGTCACAATGATAGTGAAAGGGAAACATTTAGGATCAATTCAGGACATCCAGGCAGCCTGGACAGGACAACTAAAGACCCTCAGGAAAGAAGACTCCAGAGCTGCTGCAGAAAAAGGCAAGAACAGTGGAATAGTGTGTTTGAAGCAAGGGGAAGGTCTTTTTTTAGGGAAGTTAATGGCAATGTGTATTTTAAATATTTTTAAATATAAGCATTCACTGCAGTTTTTTACAACACTACACATATATTCTAAAACATGTTGTATTTGATAAATACATACAATTTTTTCAATTTATAAAAATATATTCAATTTAAAACACTAAGTGGCAATCATAGCTAAAAATAACAATGACTCTGTAATATCACCAAGTATTTACTCAACTAAACTAGGCTTTTGCTTGGATAGCAAACAGCATAGGGTCTAACCAGGAGCATAAGCACTCTATTCTAGGGGTTACCACCTCTAGGCCACCAGCCAAAGTTGTCATTTCTGGCTTTAGCCTTGAAAATTCTTGTACATAAGGAATTTAAAATTCTAAAGACTTTATTTATTTGAAAACATTAGAGATTTTTTTCAAAACATTTAATTTAGTGAATCATGTTTCCCCAAAACACATGAAAAATATATTCTTTAGTAATCAATATAAGGTAAATATAATGGAAAATTTTTATTATTATTTAAGTAGATATCACAAGAAAAATTGGAATGTAGTGGAAAGATATAATATGTTTCTAGAATATTTATTGTTCAGAACAATAGTCTTTCATTATTCTGTAAAACCTATGTACAGAGGACACTGAATTTGGTTTAGAGATCAAATATTTATAAAAAGAAAACAACCAAACTTATTCAGTATTCTCATATTTTAAACTTTTTTCCAGTTGGCATATCAGAAAATAAATAATGAGTTTCATAATATAAATAAGGCTGAGGAATAATTATTTATATGGAAGAAAAATAATAAGACTGGTACAAAATGTAGACATTGACACATGGTCTTGATGACTTAGGAAAAAAGATTTGAAGATTTCCATTTTTCATCTTGCAAAAATAATTTTGCCATTGCTCTAAAGTATTATGTTGTTTTGCTTTAAGAGAAAACTGAAATAATTTTCAACAATAACTTCTATAAAAAGAGTCTCTGGATTTTAAGATTTGAGTCAGGGATTTTCATCAGTGTTTAAAATACAGTCTGAATAACAATATAATTATGAAACATTGAATTCTCTGTCTCTAGCAAAAGAGAAATTACCTAATTGTCAAAGGAAATAGAACAAAGTGACACTCTTAATCAATCCATTTTCTATGAAAATAGGAAAATTGCTCAAAACGAAACCTATTCCTCATCTACATGTACCATGGTTCAAAATCTGCAATAATGATTAAACAGAAGAAATACATCCTTGTATTTTTGTTATATCAGTGCTTTAAAAAACCCCAGCATAATACTGTTTTAGCTCACTGCCTATACTTGATTCACACATTAATACATACATCCATGTATATGTATATTGTATTTTGTTGATGTACAATGTCTAAGAAACACAAAGAATATACAACACTTGAGTGAGAATACAGGAAATGTTCAGTTTTAAAATTTCATTAATTTTAAAAAACAGGTTATTTACTTGTAATATAAAATTTTACTATTGTTCCAATGTTTCAAACTCATGACTGACAGAGAAGGACAGGAACCATGAGGCTAGAGGAGTAGCTGGAGTCGTGACACTCAGTGGGAAATCCTGTTGTGGATCCTGACACAGGGTTAAAAAATTTGAACAGAGCCTATAGATGTTTTGATACTATATCAACATTAATTTGTAGGGACAAATCATTTTATTACAGTTAAGTAGATATTAACATTAGATGAGCTGGACAGAGAGTGAGCAAAAGACTATCTGTCCTATTTACTGGAAGTCCAAAATTATTCCAAAATAAGAAGTTTAAATATTCCCTCATCAGCTTAGGTTTGTAAAATGACACAAATAACCAATCAAGAAGATCAGCATAATTGATAGTGTTCACACTGGGTAAATAGAAGTGAATTTATTTCTTAGAAGAACCCAAGATAGTTTTTACTTCCTATATAGAAATACCTTACAATTCTAAAGCCAGTGACCATATTAATAGACAGAGCAATAATTATGAAGCATTATGAAGTGCCATCCATGCTGGTAGCGAAAAGAATGATTTAAATACATACCGCTTAGTGACTTCTTCTATGAGGGATCATATCGTTAATGCCTTTTATGCTCACATGGAATGCCTGCTTATTTTTAGACATTTTCTAAACACCATTTTTGATATAAAAAGTAGTTTCCTGATATCTAATGAGTCATTTAAACTGAAGTCCAAATATACATGTCAACCTGACATTGGAATAAAAAGAACTTGATTTGCTTTACCTGAAACTGTGTGATCCTTGGAGTTTCTTGTTATTTTTATCCGCGCATGGGGAAAGATGTAGTGCACCGTCTTCCCATTCATCTGTAAAATCTGAGATGGACACGCACTGTGGTGAGCACTGGTGTCAGGTACATTTGTGGGACAGAATCAGACATGGCCACTTACAACCACGTTGATTAAACCAACAAAGATGCATTAGAGCATTCTCGAGCCATGACATTTTGAGAATCTTACACCGACATGGTGTAACTGCATGCATTTCTGAGTTCATTAGGGCCTTCATATTAGAGCCAATTGCCATGAAAATGACTTGTTCTATTTGAGAAATTAATGCGTGTAATGGACTCTGCTCAACAGTAGAGTGTAGTTATTACTGGTGACCATGTACAGATGAGAGTCAGGACTGACAGGAATGGATGTGGAAAATCACCAACCCCTGATCGTTTTTTGGAGAGCCTAGAATTTTAGTATATGTGCTACTGAAGCGAGCACTGGAGAGCCTAGAAATGCGAGGCATTTTTAATTTTCAGCAATTGAGTGGTGATTGTGGAGAAACCCGGAGATCCAGTGATACCATACCTCTGTCATCACAAGTGGGAGCGCTGTACATTTTGGGCGCTTGATTTTACTGGGAGCTGTACCGCTGAGCACATCAACCGAACAATTGGTGTACGCAGAGACTAATTTTGTGTGAAGAAACAAGACTTTTGAATGTTCTAATTCTTTCTGAAGGCTCTTTTGTATTCAGAGGCTGGGTTATTTCTCACCCACCATAGAAGTTCCCGAGTGGAAGGAGTCTGTGACTTCAGTTCTCACTCTGGGGACCTGAATGTAACAGTACTGTAGTTTGTATTATCTTTCTTTCCACCTGGTAAAGTGACATTTCTGAAACAAAAGTGAATCAGTGACTACAGATTTAGGTTTTATACTTTATGGAACTTTGCTTTTAGTACAGATTTGTGAAATAATACAAATACCCATACTGAATATTCATTCACATCTGTCAGCATATTAGCAGGATTGTATCAGTGTGGAATCTTGACTTAGGAAAATTTTTGACTTAAGTTACAAAGGAAACAAAACTTAGCAAATATGAATATTTACTACTACCTATTTTAGAATAAATTTGCGAGTTATGTGGAAATACTATCCTAAGATACTGAACAGAATTTAGACTCAAAGGGGTGTAAATGTCACGGAGACTGAGTCCTAGGAAAACTTCGTGACCTCAATGTACTCTGGTAAATCCAGCTGTAAAATTATTAGCATTCTGGGCATTAAAAGTAAAATAGAAATTGAAACAAATGCAAGCTCACATTACAGGCTTTTGCTTTTATTCTTCTTAGGATTAAATAAGCTTAATAAGGCCTCAGGCAAACATAAAATACTTTGCAAACAATGGCGAAATCTTGTTAAGTCCAGGAATATTACATAAACCTTCCATAGTATGTCAAAATATTGTTGGTAGGTTTATACGATACTATAACTGGCATAATGTGATAATTTGTACCAATGTGAACTTTGTAAACCACTCATCTTATTCAAGTTCATAGGAGCTTAGATTTTTCTCCCTTCCTCTTGCTCATGTTCTTTCTTCCTTTTTCTGCCTTTCTCAGTTTCCCTTTTCTCTACCTCCTCTCTTCTGCCTTCCTACCATTTGCCACCTTATATTTTCCTTTTCGGTCCTCAAATCTGCATTTAAAGATTTTTTTTACTAAAATGTACACCAGTCACATTGAAAATTCTACCCATATATTCTACATTTACATAAATGTAGAATTCTACATTTACTTTACATAAATGAACTTGATCTGGTACTATCATTTCATAAAATTGGTGCCCATTATTTCATCTCAAACATCTTTTAACTTCATGTATTATTTAATGACAATTTTTTAAATGCCATTTTTTCCCCTCACTTGGTCAAAATTAAACTGAGAAAATGTTATTTTGTCTTTTGATCTTTTTTTCCAATTTCCATGTTGGGGAGTACTGCAGATGTTATCTCCTAGTGAATTTATTGCACAGTGAAAAGGACGGCAAGTTTCCTAAATATTTCATCAGTTTCATCAGCTGGCCATTATCTCCTTTTAATTCACGACCGTGAAGAGGTAAATAGAAGGGATGTTGAACATCTTCATTTTCAGGAATGTTACTTTCACAGCACCTCTATAAATCCCCTGTTGGTTTCATAGATTGTCTACAACCAGCGTGGTGCATTTAATAAATTAAAAGCTTTTTAGCTATCATAAGTATGATCGATATCATGAAGAATCTACAGAAAGCAGAGGTATCTTTCCCACACATAAACCAGATGGGTCTCAGCTCTTTTGCTAACCATGGCAGGTGAGGCTGAGAGTCCTCTAGCACAGGCTGCTTTCGCCAGGTAGGAGCAGGAGCAAGGCCAGGGCAGAAATGAGGTGACAGCCCTGAGGTCTCTCTGTTGTCCTTGTCTTTTGACAATTCTGCATGGACAGAACTATCACCTCATGCCACCCAGAAAAAAGGTTTATTTTTCTCCCTTAATTACAAATATTTCAAAAGGAATTATTTCATTGAATTGAGCCTTCATAGTTACGAGTAATGTTTGTGTTGTCTTTTATTTATACAGATATTCATGCACTCCCTCCTTTAAACACCACACAGGCCTGATGTAAGGAATGGTGCATGCACCCCAAGGGTTCCCAGCACCTTTCCAGGTAAGGCAAAGCTCTGTCCCTGGTGAGTGGGACAGAGAGCCCTTCACTCCAGGTGCTCCCAGCCCCGGGCAGAGTGCTCTGCCACCAGATCCCGGGAGCCAGTGGGTGGAGATGGGACGTCTTCCTACAAGACAGGGCATGGGCGTGGACCCTGAGTGCTGACCAGGGCTGAGCTCAAGGAGAGGGGCAGGTGTCCTAGGGAGGAAAAGGAAGCCAGACACCAGCACTGAGAATGCAGGGCACAAGGGCTCAGGGCCAGCAGAGGCCCAGCTTAATCAGCAGTCAGTGTGCTGAGCACCACACAGGGCATGTGTTTCAGAGATAAGCGGCGGAGGGAGGGAAAGTCTTAGAAATAAATGAGGCTGGGTGACCTATTCATTTCATAAAGCAGAGCTAGATTTCTCCCAAAGACTGCAGAGACAAAACATAAACACTAATATTCGAAAGGAAACAGATATGGGTCTGCAGCTTTGGTCATTCTTATAGTGAATATGATAGTGAGTCTAATAAAATATTTCCAAAACATCCTTCTATCTTTCCTATGTACATTTTAAAGCAGCTAACTTAGTGTTTGCATTCACTAATTTGGTATTATCCCTTTTGCCTCTACAGCACTTAAGAACATAAATCCTTGTTATGTGTATTTTCAGATAAAAGTATCTGCATTTATTGGTATCGAGAGCACAATATTACCTTTTTATGACTAGAGTCGCAAAGAAGTGAGTGAAATGAAAATGCCATTTGGCTATTGTCCAGGCCCAAATGTAGCTCTGGTGAGTTCAAGAGGGAGACAGGATTTTTGGATAGAGATTAATGCAGAAAGTGTAAAGTCTGAATTTTATATAATTAAATTTTGGAGTGTTATGTAATTAAAGCAAATGTTATCTTCTAAGTAATGTCTGTTTAGGAAAAAAAACCTGTAAAGTAAAGCAGTTTGTTGCTGAAAGTCAACATATTGTTTCTTGTTTGGGGCCAGGGAGCTGTGGACCCTGAGGGCTCCCGTCTGTGGTTTCGGGCCAGGCTCTCCCCCCTGCCTGAGCAGTCCTGTCCCTGGTCGCTTTGTAACAAAGCTGTAACCTGAGGTCCTCTCAGTTTGATACATGCATATGTTGTGTTTTTTGCTTATATGAGAGATATCAAAGTAGAAATGTAAAAATTAAAAATGCAAAGATTGCTACCAGCAAGAAAATATATATTATTCTATTACATTCATTGAACAAAGATAATTTTTACTTTATCAATCACAGACAGAAAATTATTAAATAATTCTCAGTATTCTGCCTGCTTAATTTTGGCATTAGTCTATAAGAACATATTGTTTAAAATATGATCTACTATATATCATCAGCAGATCAAAACCACACATATATGCATGTTAATAATAGAAACTTAGAAACAAAAATGTCTTTAGGGATATTCACATTTTATCTACCTACAATAGAATAAAAATTTAGAAAAAATTTGGGGGTTGGAAATATTATTTTAATGTATTCTCAAATAATATTAGATGGATAAATTTTTGGAGAACACTATTCTGACTATTCATTGGAAAAGTAGATTTAGAAGATAAATGTATAGAAGTTGCTTTTTTTAGCTCTCCCGTTTATATAGTTTGTCTTCTTATGATTATACTAAAGTATTTATGTTTTCATGGTCTTGACCTAGGTTTGTGGGAAATATTACACTTCAGAAAAACAAATGAGATGGTTAAATATAACAAGTATGTCATTACAGACATTCTTATAATAAAATACACTTAAGAAATTTATCTTCAATGGACACATTATTTTAGTGTTGTAGATTAAAGGAAGTAAATTTAAGATTTCAAAACATGATCAAATGATTTTACTGCTTGTCTAAGTTTGTCATCAGACCTTTTCGATGAGAAAATATTTATAATATCTAGAGAAGAATCTTAAGGTTTCCAGAAAACAAAATAGCATATAGAACAGCAAAAAAGAGAGGAAAATTCTCACAAAAGAAACTGTTATTTAGTAGTTAGAAATTTGTCTACTACAAATTACAATTGTTTAGGCAGAAATCAAATATAGGAATATAATGTAATGACAGTTCCTACAAATTCAAAAGCCTTGTTTTCATTTATACTTCAAAATGACAGTTTAATCATGGTAAGTTCCACGTGGCTCTCCTTAGTTATTTACAATGTGGTTGTCTATATCAGTCTGTGATTCACCAACGAGCATAATTTAGGAGTTAACCTATCTGTTATGGGTATTTTAACAATCATAACTTGCAAGTATATGATGTGCTAGGGCAATTGATTTAAGGCCTTCGGGTCTACCAGTGGAATTTACTTCAGTGTAGCCAACTGTTAATCTAATAGGTCTCTTTCAAGGTTCAACACAAACATCCCCCCCTTTACTCTAAATTAAGATTATGAATTTTGGAATTATACTTAGGTTGTAATGTGTGCCTCTAAATTTCAATTTCTTCACTTATAAAAAGATACTAATAATGTTTAGTTTATGTGGTTTTTATATGAAGAAATAAAAACTGAATGCAAAACAATTTTTTCCGTTCAGCAGACTCACTGATGGCATCAGCCAGTCCCCCCACCCCATGTGAAGCCTCCTTTCAAGCCTCCTTTCCTAGCAGGCTTGGTCTGGGCCCCTCATTTGCGGAGACTCGGTCCCTGACACAGTGGTATTGGAAGCACTGAAAGTCACAGATCTGCTTCCCTCCGTCCTCTCTTCAGCTCTTCGGGGCCCCATGTGTGTCCTTCTGCCCTCACGGTACATCAGCGTGGTGAGTGTGTGCTGAGGGCTCAAGTCACTGGCCTGGCCTGGTGGAAGTGTCACGGCTACCATGCAAACGCATCAGGGCTGACGAAGCGAAGCTCTCCGCTAGGTCACTTACAAACCTTCCTGACCCTGGCCAAGCCCGAGCTAAGGCAGAACTGCGTCCTGATAAATCTAACGGGGTTGCTAGCTGAGCACAGGACTTACTTGCTCTTGGTGTTGACTGAGCGGCCGAGAGTGGACCAATCTTTCTGGCAGCTTCCGGTCCAGATGTCCGTTCTCCAGACGCGATTCTCTGGGTTTGTCGAACCAGTCCGTTTCCTCGCGACGCAAGTGATAGGCTTTGGAGACCAAGGAGACAGGACACATTGCAATTGCACCGCGCGGACGGCAGGGGCGGACCCGGTCCTGGGGCTGACACGCGCCAGGCTGCTCCCCCGGCATGCATTTCCGGCCAGTTTTCATGATTATGGTAAAGATAACGTTAAGTTAAAAACTTATCCTACAATCACCTACACAACAATGCCGAGCAAGATCAAGCATCACATTTTAAATCAGGGTAAAAATGAAACTCATACAGCGATGGGATAACTAAGGAACGAAACTCATTCTAGCTAAGCTCACAAGTTCCGACTTCCTCCTCGCTGCCCACAGCCCACGACCCAGGGGCGAAATCACAGGACACTGCGCCCCTTGGAGGTTCCGGCTACTGTCCCACAGCTGCGGAAAGCCGATACCAACAAGCGGGTGCTGGCTTTGACGCTGATCAAAAATATGTAACAGTCACAAAAACATTTATTGCTAGGAATAGTCTTGCTAGGAACATGTATCCCCCAAGCACTTGGTGGCTTAATTAAAAATATATCTATTAGATGTTTAATACAGATAAAAGATTTTCTGAAGGGAAGACTGATTTAGAAATTAGACTGAGAATGAACTGCTTTTAATAGAATACACTGCCAAAAATCTTGACATCATACGTATTTTCTTGAAGATTGCAAGCATCTTCTCAGTGTGCAGTTATTATTTAAAATCTTCAACTCTTGGCGTTACTACTTTCCAGGCCTCCTGAGGTTACCGCATCGGGGTTACGACCCCGGGGTGACCGTCACGGAACCTGACCTGCAGCGAACTTTCTGCTCTCTGGCAGGCCCTGGCGCGGGAGCCGCAGCCGCCTCTGGGCCCCAGCAGGCCAGTCCTGCAGGCCCCAGCCCCCTCTGTGTCCCGACGTGGCTTCCAGCTGTTCGGTTCTTCCCACCTGCGGGTCTTCCCTTCCCGCCTACGTCCTTGCCTAGCTTTTCTTAAACTTCCCCCAGACTCTGCTCCCAGGGCTTCTGCATCCTCCCTGGCTGTCGGCTGGACGTGCACGGTGCCCGCAGCACGCTCAGCCTGCCCTCCTCTGACCCTGGGCATCGCTGCTGCACACAGCGCCTCCCAGCGACAGGAATGAAAGACGCGGCTCCGAGCCTCCTCTTCCACTCACCCGTGGGACTAGAGGCTTCGGGTCTTTGTTTTGACTCTTCCTCCCTCAACACTGAAAGCAATTCCGCGCACAGCGCATAATATTCAGCGCACGTTTGAGGAATGAAATGAAGGTTAGATTAATTAGTCATCGACCAGAGAAAGAAGCTAAATAATTATGGAAAATATTTTATTGTTTCGGTAGTGGGGATCAAACCCAGGACCTGGTGCTTGCGAGGCAGGCGCTGTGCCACTGAGCTAAATCCCCGGCCCCTGGAAAATATATTTTAAAGTGAAGATTAATTTCTCCCTGAGCTTCATGAATAGATACACAATCTTTTTCTCACAATCTACTGAATAATTATTGTGGCATACCACGGTCTTAATTTGAAAGCAAGTGACTAGATTTACAAAAAATATTTAGTGTGATACACATTTGATAAGTAAAAATATGCATTATTTAATCATCAGCCTGACAGTTTCTTAGAGTATCCTTAACCACACTAACATTATTTCTGTTGAATTTGTTATTTTATTATACATTTCTCACAAAAAGAAAATAATCCATACCGTTCTTAATGAATGACTATGTTGAATAATGTAGTAGTGATTTCATTTAATGTGTAACTTTTCTAATGCATTTGGAATATAGTTCCTAAAACACACGTGGTAGTCTTGGCTGTCTGTTGATACAAATAAGGTGGACTCTCACCTTGATCCAAATTTTGTCCATTTCCAATTCTGACTCCCTGATTGATCTTCCCTGTTATTTTTAATAAAATCCTTACTTGGCATAGGGACATAAAATGAACCAAGACCAACCAGATTGCGTGAACCTGCTTTTATAATGCATCGGTCATCGCCAGCTGCTTGTCACTACGGCAAATCACTTATAAATGCAATGCAATGATCTGCTTGGGAGAGACATATTTTTTAAAAATGAATTTTATAAAAATAATCAAATGTATCAAATTAATTTAAATAACTTTCTGGAGATTAAGATACCCTCTTTTTAAAAACTTGATAATTTCTCTTTACTTCTTTACTGTAGAATACAAATGAGTTGTTTTGGGGTCCAGTATTGTTCATAGGAAATAACTGCATAAATAGTTTACTTCTCAGGGTAAATATTTGTCCAATATTTTGAAAAACACTGTACACATTGATATTTCCTTGGGGAGATCTGATTCTATACACTTTGAAAGAATGTTTTCAGTGAAAGCTGTATGAGTAGAAGTAGATACAATTCGACTGTTTCTGCTTAGCTTTAAGCTAATGGTCATAAATATTAAGCAATATAAATTATGTATGTCTGTCTGTACTTTATCTCATGAGCTAGTACAAAAATTAGTTTTACAGAGTGCATCTGAAAAAAACATACAGTCTATAATGCAAAATTTAATTAAACTCAGAGAAAGGATATGACAAGCCAGTTGAATGCAGTTAAATTCTTTTTGTTTGGATGGTGCTAACTAACCAGTTTCAGGTTATACTGTTCAAGGTTATCTTGGTAATATTCACATGTAGACATAGGATTACATTTGCCAAACATTTGTTTAGAAAATATCTAGCACTCTGAGTTTGTTAACATCTGGAATTACATGATTGGTAAACATAGTTTCTACATTCTCCCTTAAATGGCCATGGAATACAACATTTCAAAAGGAAAGTTAAGAACTTCTCACAAGAGAAAAATAATGTGTGAAAAAAAAAGAAAAGTAATGTATGTTATATGATAACAGAAACATATAACAATTTACTATACATATTTTAAAAGATAATCACTATAATTCATTCACATTACAGATAAAATTCAGTTCATTATAGGTGCTATTTAATTCTGTATCAACATAATCTTTGTGAATGCTTGTTATCTGCTTAATTCTAAGTATCCTTTTGTCATAAAATTTCATTTACGTTGCATTTTTGATATCTGTACAGACTTCAGAACTGTGTGGGCTGCATCACGTCTCATCAGCTACTTGATCAAAACAGTTTCTTCATGGTCCATGATGACCGTGTATACATTATTCAAATATATAAATGGGAAATTAACATTGAACACTCAGTTATTTCTGTGTAGTTTTATGTAAATAAAGGCCACATACTGAGATATCCATAAACACTTATATATCTGGCATCATGTTAAATATATCTGTGAGTAATAAATGAGTTTGTCAAATTCTCTCCAGACATATGCTCACCATGTGCAGGGAGCCTGTAGGTGCTTAGCTATGCCATAGATCCCCAACTACAGGTATGGCAACTGAAGGACTTCCTTATGATTTTGAAACAGTATAAAGTGTGTGCAAAATGTGGATCAGAAAAAAAGTAAAGAAAATATTAAAGGCTCTTTCTGAATAATATCATAGTTCTTGTTAAGCTATATCGAGTTATTCAAACAATTGCCTAAATTTAAGAAGACACAAATGGAGTGCTTCATTTATATGACTATCTGTCAATAAAAGTAGTCAATCCAATGGCCTGAAAGGAAGGAAGCAGATCAGTAGCAAGTCTATTTGCATCTCACCAGGACAGGCAGTCTGTCTGTCTTCTGTGAGATCCAATGATTATTTTAGTTCTATAAAACTTGAGGCTTGAGCTCTAAACTCATCTGTGTCTAGACACAGCAATAGAAAGGAATTCATTTGCATGGAAATATATTTTTCTCCAAGTCCTGAAGAAAGAAGTGTGACCTGAGAGGGGAGATGCTTGTGTTAGGTTAACCCTGTGCAGCCTCCAAAGGAATGAAGTGATGGTGCTTTTACTGATCAGAAATATCTTATTTCTAGGACTTCAACTCCATTTTACATCAAATGTAAGCCATAGAGGAAATTAAAAAAAAAAAAAGAATTAAGAGTCAGTCCTCTTTTCATGGGCAAGGCTCCTCCCATCCTGGTATCACTTTTCTCTTATGTCTAAAGTTAGACTTGCATTAGATAATTTTCTAAATTCTTATGGTTCTGCGTGAGTAAACAAAAAGTCACTTTAAAGGATTTTTTAGTTGTATATGGATGTGCCTTGAACAAAATGCTCAATATGATCAATTAGCAAAGCAATTTAAGCCAACAAAACATGGTATGATACAAAAAGCAGCGCCCAATAGACAAACCAGGAGCCTGAACTCCAACTAGCTAAAATCCCAATGTAGCTTACAAATGTTTCAGTTTAAAGCTAAAGAACACTTCATACATACTGATCATACTACTTTTACTATCTTTAGTCCTAAGCTTTCTAGCATGTAATGTAAAGTGTATAAATTTGTCAAAATAGTATTCATGAGAAAGAGATACAACAGACAAAGTTCTACATGGTACTAATTCGGAGAATAACCCTCAATGCTCGGAAAGAGAATGTCCTCTGAACTGATGAACATTCATCACATGAAAGTGATATAAGTATTGCAGTCTAGCAAATTACACTTAACAGTTCTAATCCTTAATAATTTCACAAACTAAGAGAAACTGATGAAAAAACTTTAAACATATTAAACAAAAAAGAACAATGCAATGAAACTTTCCAAATGTGGGTTCAAAGAGTGCCCATACTTTATTGATAGAATTATCTGATAATGGTTTTAGAAAAGCAGGCACAAAACAAAATCAAGCAAATAAGAAGCACAACAATAAAATCAAATAGAAACAAAGAAAAGCATGCCATAAAATCATACGGGGATGGAATTCCCGTGTACAAGAAAAACATTGAAGTAAACATGCAAAAAACACACTAAGAAAGGTAGAATATGTCCTTGGAGAGGGAAAATAAAGCATGCAGAAAAGTAAGAGTTTGTGTTCTGAGAGTAACAGGGTAATGTGAGGCCCACTTTACCTTCGCTGTCTGACATGGCGTGCTGGAAGTCGTCTATGATGGATGTGATGTCCCGGTCATACCCTCGAGTCCGAGATTCCTCTCTCATGTGCTGCTGAACCTCAGGCAGTGAGTGGCTAGATCCGAACTGGTCCCTTGTGTCTGCAGATATGGGTGGCAGAGGCCCCGCTGCAGCCCTGGCCATTCCCATGGGCTGGCCAACGGGACTGAGCGGACTCTCTTCTTCTGAATTCTGGGCCACGATGGGTATTCTCCCTCGACTTTGGCTAATCGGCAGACTGGTGGGCTTAGTTCTGCCTGAGGCGGATGCATGACCAAAGGAAACGTCGAGAACTTCAGCCTCTTGCGCTTTCAGTCTTAGAGATGAGCTGGAAGAATCCCTTTTAATCGACAGATCGAGCCCATAGACAGAGGAGGGGCGGGAGGAGGGCCTGGACCTGCTGCCGCTGCCATAGGGCTTATCTGCTTCGTCCTGCAGAGCCGACCGGATGGTGCTTCCTAAAGTACCCAGCCCTGAGCCCAGGGAGGACCCCAAGAATTTCTGTTGGTCTGTAATATTTTTTTTGAGGCCAAAAGTGATATCATCCTGAAGAAGTCTTGCCCTAGAAGAAATACCACCAATGGAGGAAGTGCTGGAAGTCATATAGCTGGAATAGTCAGGTTCAAGGTCTCTACTTTCTTGAATAGGTGAAAACTTTGACATTTTAGGGTCAATCAGTGACTTTTTGTGCTTTGACTGCTTTTGGTAAAGTATGGCTGCGGGCAGTTGCTTGGCCGCTTGTTTTTCCAGCGTGAGTCTGCTGATGCTGTACTTCTCCGATTTGGGGAAATGTCTGTAGCTGGTGTCCGCGTGGTAGTAATGGGAAAGCCCAGCGAGGTGGTCCAAGCTCTCTGCCCCTCTGCGGAATTCCTGCTTGATCTGATGTTTCAGGAGCTTTAACTCGTAAGGATCCTCCATGGCTTCTTCCTCTGCTTTCACGTAGCTGTGGAGTCGGGAGGAGGGCTGCAGGGGTGCGAGGAACTCCGTCATTTCTTGGGACCTGCGAGTCTCCGTGGTCCTCAGCAGGCGGTCCGCTTTGGACAGATCCTTTTCATGGAGGCTGAAGGCCGAGCTCAGTGGCGCTGTCCCTTTGGCGATCTGTCCCATGTCATCGATGAGGACATAGTTCCGCGAGGTGTGGCTGTCCATGTCTGCGTAGAAGGAGTCGGCGGAGATGCTGGAGATCGGGCTGCTGGCCATGCTGCTGCGCTCCTCCAAGCCCATGCGCAGGTCTAGACTGCTATACTTGCCGCCCAGGTGGGAGACGGCGTAGGTAGCGTCGGTGGAGACGGGCGCGATCACCAGGGCTTGGTTGCGGACCACCTCGTAGTTCGAGGTGATCTTGGGCTCCAGGTAGAGCGCGGGCTGGCGCGCCTTCTGCTGGATCAGCATCACCTGTGAGGGCAGCGGGTAGGACGGCTGCGGGGTGGGCGCAGGCTGGGCTGGGGCGGGGCGCGCAGCGGGGTAAGGTGGGAAGGACAGGGTGGCCACGGCCTGGAGGGCGGCCTGGGCCTGGAAGGGAGGCCCCTGCGGGTGGAACAGCGCCGGCTGCTGGGTGTAGGCGGTGGGCGCCTGGGTGGGCCGGGCCGGGGCCGAGTAGGGGAACTGGCTCTGGACCTGGGCCTGGGCCTGGGTCTGAGGCGGCAGGAACTGGCCGAACTCTGGCTGGGGCGCGGTGCGGGGCCGCTCCACGCGGGCCGGGCTGGCGCCGCTGACCTCGCTGTCGGACACGTAGTCCCGGTCTTCGGCCACGCCCTGCAGGTAGGCTCGCTCCCGCTCCTCCCGCTCCTTCAGCAAAGCCTCCTTCCTCCGGTTGATCCCCATTTCCAGGTAGCGCAGCTTGGCGTCGATCTCCTTCTCTTCTTCGTCCAGCTCGGCCTGCTTCTTCCTGAGCTTCGCCGACTCCCGCTCCACCAGGTCCAGCTCCCGGTCGATGTCCTGCAGGATCTTGGCCCGCGCCATGCTGTTGGTCCTGCAGGTCCTCCTCCGGGACGCGCTGCCCACGGGGCCCAGGCCGACCGGGGTCCCCGCGGGCGCCTCCTCGGGGGGCGGGGGCGGCAGCGTTCGCTTCACCTTCTTCTGGGAGCCAGAGGCTGTCGTGGTTTGAGACCCCTTTGTCTATGACCAAAACAGAGGATGTGATTACCAAAGACGACAAAGACTTTCATGGTTTACATTTACAGTAAGATGATTTCGAGTTTGTGCCAGCAATCCCAACAAAATAAAATAGAAAGTCTGTACAATTGCAAGTATTGATTGCAATCAAAGAACTGATGCGTACTTTTTTCTTTCTTGGTAAATTGGTTTTATTATCAACTCTTAGACTATTAGAGGCGAGTTTTGAAATCAGTACCAAACCCTTTGTGTATGTAGGTTTATATTGTAGGCTGTAGAACACTTAGGAGATGATTTTCCATCTAAATTGATATTCATAAGAACACCTCCTGGGCCTATTCCCAGAGCATTTGTTTAAGCATGTACAGTGTAGGCTACGTTTGCGAAGATGTTTGTTCCTTAAGTTCAGTTTCATATTTTACCTCTCTGACCACCCCTACTTCTCTGTCATTCCTTTTCTAATGCTGCAGTGCTTTAAAATGAAATCCTCAAATTCTCTAACTTTTCTTTCAAAACTGAAACACTATGAAACACTTTTCAAAACTGAAACACTTTTCTTTCAACAACTGAAACTTCCTATTTACTCTTTTATGATTTTTCATGATTATTTATTATATTTTCTCTGAACTTTAGAATTCATTAGTAATTTTAGTTTCTTCTCAATATCTTAGTAACTTTTATAGGAAGCAATAAGATTGGACTGCAACAAAAAGTCAGTATCATTTTTAATCAGATAAAGTATATATCTGGTAAAGTAAAGTATTTTTTATTTCATTTGGTTGGTTTGTCATGAAATATAGGCTTCTGAGAAGACCAGGTTTGGGGAGTCATAGAATGTTAGACTATCAACAGATGTGAGATATGATTTTGACCATTTCAGCTGAAACAAAGTGATGTTCTCAAAGTTACCCATGTGTTGGCAGCATATTCACCACCAGATCTCAGGTCTTCTGCTTTTCCTTCCTTTTTCTTATGACCCACAAACATGAATTCTCTTCCTCCTCCCTAACTACCAAATACCAATGGCACAAATGTAATAGAAAATGCAAGAGTTTATGGATTTTTGACACAAAAGTCATGTCTTAAACATATTTGTCATCATTTCCAAATTCATTTTCTCCATGGTTTTTATATGTTCTCTGGCATCAAATTTCTGTTACTGTCTCGCACCTCACTAGCTGCTTCTTTAACAGACATCATGACAGGAAACAACATGCCAAAGATTTACTGGACATTATGTGTATTTCTGAAATCTAGGACATTTGGATGGAAATGAATAAATGCTATGAGTCTGTGAAACAGGTTACAGTGATTTTGAAACTGTAGTTTGCTCTTCATCACAGAGAAATCTGTAAAAATATAGAGGCCTATTTGCAAGGACGCTGACTGGCATCCTGTTTATCCCCTTTCATCCTCAGTTCTTTTTGTTGTTGTTGTTGTTTTTGTGGTACTGGAGATCAAACTCAGGATTTAATTTTTATAAAGATCAAATGAGACAACTGTGTGATTCTGGAGGTACTAACTAAATTTTAGTTCCTTCAAAAGCCTTACCTCTATAGAAAATTATGTTTTTTTGATAAATCCACATTCTAAATTTTTTAACAAATATTTACTCATAAAAGTATGCAGTCTATCTTTCACTGTAACTGACTATAAATAGCAATAAAATGAAAATTGAGATATTATGATTTTCTTAATAATTCTATGTTAATACTAATGTAGAAACATGTCTCATCTCATGATTTTTAAAGTTTTTCTACAATAATCTTTCCATCTTCTGAGTACAATGTTGTTCATTAGGAGCCTGACAATTATACACTGCTTTCCCTTGATATGCATGTGGTACATTTGGAATACACATAACAATTTTAAATTTTAAAATTTTCTCCTAAGCCACATGATCATGCCTATGAAATGGTTCAATGGTATTTAATTTTGTCATCCTGAAAGCGTTATGGCATTGAATAATATGGAGATATTTTGCAAGAACATCTTGTTCTTCCCAAGGAGATGGACATGTTAAATACCCTGATTTGACTTTTAAACACATACACATGTCAAGACAGCACACCGTGCCCCATAAATAGATACAATTACTATGTGTCAAAGACAAAAGTAAGGAGAGACCGTAAAAGAAAAAAATCCACTGATTAATGCAAATCTAAACACTGATCTGGAAAGGAAGAAAAAAGACAAAACAAATTATTAGTAGGGAGTACAGAAAACAGACAATGAGATGAAATTTCTTGGTGGACAAGTATATTTTGAAATTTAATCTTTAACATTATTGTAGGTACTCATTCAGTGGGGAGAAATATTTGTTGAATGAAAGAATGAAGAAATGAAAATAAAGCAAAAGTAAAATAAGAATTTACTATTTGTAGAAGTTCTGAATTTTTCAGAATTCACTTAGTAGAACTGGAGTATATATGCTTTGAAGAACCACAGAAGATTTCTTATTACATTAAGAGTAATTCTTAATGAAATAAATTGGAAGCTAGTATCAATTCTTGCTACTATTGTTCATAACTGCACACAATCTTTTCCTAATTTAACTTTGTTTCATTGTTCATAGTTTTCATTCAAGAGAATAGAAACAGCTAACTGTTGTTTTTTAAAGTTCTATGTTAAAGAACATTCCAGGCATTGAAGATTCATAATATTCCTCCTTGGCCGAATACATAGAATGACCATGATTCAAATTAGTTAATATTTTGGGAGTCATGGATGGATGTCAGGGAACGGCAGATAGTGCTGGCTGGAAGAGGCAAGGTGATTATTGAATTAAACACCTGACTATTCAGTCTCCAGGTAGGGAAACTGCTTTGCTCTTGTCTGCTTGGCCACAGGAGCAGCTATGGAGGTGGAGACTCACCGAGGGGTCAGCAGTACCCCTCGCCGAGGGCAGCAACCGGACTGGACTCTGCCTCACAGACCACACCCTGCAGAGCTGCAGTCCACGTTCTCCCCTTAGGAGATGAGCAACAGCTAGCACATCATCTGGTTCATATTCCCGGCCTCAGTTTTCTTGTATGTTTAACTTTACATCATCCGTCTGTCTGAGGAGGAAATGGCTTGGTACCATAATCTAGATTAGGTCTTGGACTAGCGTTTTCATCCAGTATTTTCTGGAAGGGCCGCTGACAGGGATGTACTGTAATCAACATTGTGGTCAAGGTCCTTAAGCCCACAGTGATGACAGCACTGAGTATTTGTTTTCAATAAAATTATCTAATGGGAAATTTCACATCACATCAAAGTTCCTTTGATTCTCAGAACTTCAGCCCACAGTTGGCTTCAGTTAAAAAAAATCCAAGGGATCATGTTTCCAGAGACAAAGGAGTCGTTCTTTGGAGCCTAAGAGTCTTCCATGGTTCAAACACTGAGTCAAACACTGGTGGGAATGGGGCCCAGGTCGATGCAGAGGCCCTCGAATCCCTCCTGGGAGACAGAGCTTTCAGAGGCCCCTCACACAACAGTGTCCCCAGGGCAGCCCAGGGTGCCGAGAGAATCTGGCTGGAGGGAAAGCCTCGAGGATGACTCAACCCGAACTACATTTTCAAGTACATTTGGCCAGGAGGAATGAAGAAAACTGCTTCTCATGCAAATAATAGCAAAACAAAGAAAAAGCAATAAAACCTTTGATTTCTGGGTGGTACAATTCCAAAAATGTCGATGTTACAAATTATCTTTACCACCTGGAAAATCAAGACATCTTTTCATCAAGTCCATTTGTTCATTCACTCAGTCAAGCATTCATAATCATCCCTTAAGAAAAAAATATAGATATCTATTAGTATATTGCAATATAAGGGGCACTGTAAAAATTGAATGTGGCACATGCCTGTAATTGTAGCATGCTGGGAGGCTGAGGCAGGAGGATTGCACATTCTGGCTCAGCCTGGCAAACTCGGTAACTTAGGAAGATCCTGTCTCAAAGTACAAAATAAAAAGGGGCTGGGGATGTAGCTCATCATGAAGACCCTGGGTTCAATCCCCAGTACTACATGCACAAAAAAATTGCATGAATACTTCTAGAAATATGAGTATATTTTTTCCTTCAAAATAGATGGCAGTTGTTTCTTAACATTCCAGTTGGTAGCTGATACACTCTCAGAACAGCTCAAATATTCAGAATCTATTATAAAAAGAAGGACTAAGTCACACTATTAATAGGGCTGGGGATTTAGCTCAGTGGTTCCAGCGCCTGCCTTGCAAGCACAAGGTCCCAAGTTCAATCCCCAGTACCAAAACCAAAAACAAACCACTATTAATGTAGGAGATAGAAGGAGCGAGCACCAAAGGCTTTGATGCCTAGCAAAGATATAACAAGAAGGGGATGACACAAAGTCAAAAATCTGCTTGAGTCATTTTCTTCAATGGCTGGCTATGCATCATGGTATAGGATTTATAGATAGTAACATGTATACGGAGTCCACCAAAAAATGTATACATCAGGAAAAGAATAACTTGTATAAATATTTTAATATTATATTTATTGAGATCTTGAGATTAATACAAATTACCTTTGACCTCTACAATACAAGACGTGCTCAAAGCAGTGGCCATGAGTTTCCAGACATTTATTAGTATGACAAACTGCTGAAGCAGACTCTGAATATATATATATATATATATATATTCATCTAATAATATATATATTCATCTAATATATATATATGATGTGACATATAAAAGCATATAACAAGAATAGTAATTGATCAATAGTTGTTAATTTTTAATTTCCTAAAGAGAGGAAGTAACACCCAGCTTTAGATCTTCGCATATAGGTATAATAAACACAAAATTATCTGTAGTATCGGATTTATAATTTGAAAAGAGCTGACTTCCAATTCTAAACATCATTCCTGGACTGGACTTCTTCAGCACTTTGTGTACTATCACAAAGGTGTCTGGACTCCGACAATGTTGTCAGTGGCATTCAAATTGCTGGTATTGATAAAACATTAGAATGAAACCTAGGTCAGATCAGGAAGTCCTAC